AACTGGACAGATACATGCAGCATAATAAAATCGGGCCACTTTCTTACACCATATACAAAAATAAACTCAAAATGGATTAAAGACTTAAATGTAAAACCTGACACCATAAAATTCCTGGAAGAAAACATAGGCAGTAAACTCTTTGAAATTGCTTTTAGCAATATCTTTTGGCATAAGTCACCTCGGCCAAGGGCAACAAAAGGAAAAAAAAAGAAATGGGACTACATCAAACTAATAATTTTTTTGCACAGTGAAGGAAAGCATTAACAAAATGAAATGAAAACCTACTAAATGGGAGAAGATATTTCAAATGATACATCCAATAAAGAGCTAATATCCAAAATATAGAAGAAACGCATACAACTTAACCCCCACCACACACAAAAAACACACAAATAATCCTGAAAAAATGGGCAGAGGACCTGAGCAGACGTTTATCCAGAGAGGACGTACAGGTGGCCTACAGCCCTACACAAAGGTGGTCAACATCACTGATCATCAGAAATGCAAATCAAAACCACAATGAGACACCACCTTGCACCGGTCAGAGTGGCTATCATCAAAAAATCAACAAATAACAAATGTAGACAAAGATGTGGAAAAAAGGGAACCCTGTACACCGTTGATGGGATTGTAAATAGGTACAGCAACTATGGAAAACAGTATGAAGATTGCTCAAAAAAATTAAAAATATAGCTGCCATGCACCCCAGCAATTCCACTTCCAGTGCTTATCCAAAGAAAACAAAAACGTGAACTCACAGACACATGCACCCTCACATCCACCGCAGCATTACTTACAACAGCCAAATAGGGAAGGAACCACGGTATCCATCATCAGTAGATGAATGGATAGAGAAAATGTGGTGTGTATATACATAGAATAAAATAGTATTCGCCAACAAAAAAGAGTGAAATTTTGCCATTACAACAACATGGACGGACGCAGAGAGTATTGTGCTAAGTGAACGCAATCAGACAAAGAAAGGCCAATACTGCATGATTTCACTTATGTGTGGAATCCAGAAACACACAACAGAAACCTATCCACAGATGTAGAGAACACGCTGATGGTTACCAAAGGAAGGAGAATGGGGAAATGGAGGAAAGAAAATACCACAGACACTAAAGCTTCCATCCTCTGCCAATGGGAACACATTCAAAATTCAGGCTACGTGCAAATTGGCCCTGGTTCTGACTTTTCACGGGGCTCCTCCCTGCTCCTACGCCCATGCACGCAGCCCCGGGGTGGTCCTGTGGCCTGCCCCAGCCCGGCAGAACCCTCACACCCGACCCAGCAGGGAAAAGACAGTGGGCACAGCCCCGGGCAAGGATGCCAGAGAGTGCTGCTGTTCTTTCCCGAAGTTCCACTGTTTTTCAAGCATAGACACTTTTCAGATTTTTGTCTTTCTCTGATCAATTTCCAGAGGACTGAGATGATTGTTTTTGCCAATTCTGTCTAACTTTATACTTTCCTTTTTTGAGGGAAGAATTTGCCAACTTCCTCATACACCACTGAAACCTGAAAATATTTCCATAGCAAATACTTTTTCCACAAAATTTAGTCAACTGTAACTAAAATATTTAAATAATTTCTTTACATTAATGATTCTGCACATATAGAAAATCCTACTATTCAAATTTAACCCCAACTTCTATTTCTTCTTTTTTCTTTATTTCTATTTTTTTCTTCCATTCATGCTTCATTCATTCCATTATTTGTGTGAAAAGTATCAACTGACTTCCTATTCTATGCCAGGCCACTGCTTTTCTGAGACCTTTTCATGGTCTCCTCAGCAGCTGCCCCACCCTGACGTTAGCCACCCTGTGATTCAACTGCAGGCTGCACCACATTACAGATCACGGCATGTCGTGAACCCTCCACACTGTCCCCTGTCAACAATAACAACACAAAACATCTGTGTGACGCTCACCGTGTGCTGGACATTATTCTAAGTGCTTCGTGTAGGTTAATTCATTGAACTCACAGCTCGATGAATATCTACCATTATTTTCTCTGTTTAGAGATGAGAAAACAGAGACCCAGGGAACTACAAAGTAGCAAAGACAAGACTCGAGTTCAGACACTACGGCTCCAGAACCCGTGACCCCAACGCTGTCACAGCGCCTCCCGAGTGCGTGACCCGTCAAGAACGCAGTACTTCACTCACCCCGACGCAAGCAAGCCCACAACGTGAGTGAAGCACGCACTTCAAATGGCGGTGTGCACAGTCTTTTAACTTGAAACTACTGTGTCTAGCACTCAGAATGACTCCTGTATGAAATCTAACTCCTCCAAGAATTACTGTATTATCAATTGCTAAAGTGTTAGGAGAAAAGCTATCATAAAACAAACATAAGAGTATCCTAAATGTATCAAACCCACTTTCAAAATCAGGTGATGCATGTGTATTGGCCAAAATGTGGAGGGCATCAGACGCTTTAATATAAATTTGAAATATCAAACATTGGTAAGAATTAACTATAATTATAGTATATTGTTTACAATTTCAGGAAACATGTAAGTTCTTTCTTCTTTGTTACAATTGGCTTCTCCTCCACCATTCTATCTAAAACACAACCTCATTATGAAATTCCAACAGAAGTTCACATTTTCATTTTTACTGAAGTCAGTTCACTTAGTTCATGGACTCTTCTACACATGTGCAAGAATAAATCTACAGGCAAAAGTATAATCGTTTTTCTCATGACCATCTTGCTTATCCTGCCACTTTAAGTACTACACCGGGCCCTGGAGAGAGCATGCAAAGATCCTATTGCTCAAGAGAACGTGTCAGCCACTGGCAAACCCAGGACAGTCCCTGCCAGCCTCCTTGTTCCCGAAGAAGAGGCAGTAAAGCTGAGCGATAAAGACACAGAAATTTGTTTTGAAGGGTTTCTTTCCTCATATAATGATCCTTCACTGACAAAGCAATGGTGTCATAACTAAATGTACACCGTAAAGTACAAACATACATGCTCTGAGGCTTTGTAAAATTAACTAGCTTTTTAAAAAACTGCATTAAAAACGTAACTATGGTTACTCTAGTACCATTCACTTGACTGAGATGACTGAGCCATGGGAGCAGGGCTTTATGAAACCCAGGAAAAAAGCAAGGAGCAGACAGACCAAAGGGGAAATCTCCCCAAAGCAGAATAATTATTTCCAAATAAATCATTCTGTGATTTTTTTGAATGACCTCTATGACCCGTGAGGTAGTGGAAGAGGAAAGTAAAGTGACAAATTGCTAATCACGCCAAGAGACCCCTTTTCCGTTTCCTGATGATGTTTCCTCAGCATGAGTGGTGGCTTCCTTAGGCAGGACCGTGACACGGTGCTGAGCTACCACACAGGCTTCAAGTATCTGTACTTGGGGATTTAACACACCTTAAGCCTAGACCCCTTTACAACACAATTCTAATAAAGACAGGAGCAGCACACCTTTATAAATTAATGCAAGGAATCCCATTCGCATTATTTTACAGGGTGGGGCAAAATCAAGTTAACAGTTGTTCATGTGGAAAATAATAATTAATAAATAATATAAGAATAAACTGTTTCTTGTACTGACAACTGTTAACCTACTTTTGCCCTACCCTGTATGATAATGACTACTTCTTTAACGAGGAGAAACAACGACAAGAAAATGGCAGTTGCTATCCTTCCTGAAGTTATTTCCCAACAAAAATTCTTTACCTTTTTTGTGCCACAACAAACAGGATGAAATCAAGCGAGTAGCTGTCCTTTTTCCCTTTAGAATGAAATGTTTTCTTTATCTTCCCATTATCTCTTAACCCCTTTGCAAAGGGTTCAGGGTATTCTCATCCCAGGATTTCCACCCTAACTATGTTGCTTTATATTTTCAGAATATTCATGAAGTGCAACTCTGATCCTTGCACTCTTCTGTACAAAAACTCCACATTTTTGTTACTGAATTAAATATTACCACTCTACCCTGGTGTTCATGAAAGTAGAACTCCACGACAGAATCCCAACTTACCTTTCCACCTTCATCTGCTACTACTATTCATCCCTATATTTGTCCTTCCACTCTAGACAAACCAAACTTCTGGTTTCCCAAACCGCATCTTTTAGACTTCATCCTTTGTTGAAGCCGATCATTCCACCTAGCTGTTCCTCCCACAGCCAACCCTGCCATGCCAAAAATCGATCTAAGGCTCCACAAAAACAACGCCCATACACAAAAACTGTCCTAACACTGCCACTGCATCGATGATAACCCCTCCTTAACCTCACTCACCAAAGTAGTCTGTAAACCTATCCGACCCCCTGCATCACGTCCACCTGCGACACAGTTATTTCCGTCTCACCGTTACAGCACACAGCACTGGGCCTCGCGTATATTCGTGAATGGAACCACAATCACTCCTCAATAGGACTCTAGGTGTTTCTCTTCCTAATGTATTAGACCCTCTCACCTTTTCAAAAATTTTATTTTCCCTGATTAAAAAAAAATCACGTTTCTTTACAAAAATGTCAGTTCTTGATCTTTTTCAAATAACCTTTCCCTTTAGTTTTCATGAAAGTGTACGGAACCCAGGCCTGACAATCACTGCCGATCTGCCGGGGGCCTATCACGCCACAGCGCTGACGGCCTTCAGTGCGCTCACCAATCTGGTGCTCGAAACCAGAGGGGCGTTTTCAACACAGGGAATCCCTTTTAAGGAGCTCACTGGAGTTCCATGCCTACGCCTGGGAAAAGCAATACTTACATCCCATGCCTACACAAACATGTGAAATTGACGGAACATTAGCCTGAATTTTTTTAAAAAATTTATACCAATAAGCTTTACCTGTTCTCTCGGACCTCACCAATACTTAGATAATAGCAGAAATCTAAAGATATACAGTATTAGTTCTGAATTTGTAATTAGTAATGGGTCTTTCTTGCCCAAAACTAATTTCTTGAAGGTTCTGGAGCTGCAGGCTCTACTAATTTGCAGGGTTGACATACTGGGCCAATAGGTCAATCACATTACCTGTTGAATGAGCGAGCGAGCCTCTTCAGAGACGCTTTCTGGCATGTTCAAAGTAGTGTGAGTGGTTATTCCCGCCGGATGGCACTCGACCAGAGTCTGAAACAGACAGACAGACACACTTCTTATCCCAGGACACACGGACAGCACACACAGAGAACGCGACCACGATTTAACCGGAGCTGCGGTGTTCAACAGTGCCGCCCAGGCAGTTTGGGACGAGGGCGCTAAGCCTACAAAACCTCAACTGGACTGAAGGCAATTAGCAAAATCACATCATAAGCTGATGCTACCAGCCCTCTCCCCTGAGTTATAAAGAAAATGGCTCATAAGTAGAAGAGCTCACATTACTTATCAAAACTAAAGAGGGGCCCCCAGGCCGGTGTGGCTCAGGTGTTTGGGCATCGTCCTGCAAACTGAAACGTCGTGGGTTGGATTCCCGGTCAGGGCCTGTGCCTGGGCTGCGGGGTTTGGTCTCAGGCTTGGGCACCTACAAAAGGCAGCCAATCAGTGCTTCTCTCTCACATCGATGTTTCTCTCCCTCTCTTTATCCTTCCCTTCCTCTCTCTCTAAAATCAATAAAGAAAAAAATTTAAAGAAAACTAAAAAGGGACTTTCAATATCGCTGAAATTTGTAATGTATTAATAATCTTCAAATATTATAACTTGTTAATAATGACACTTTATGTATATATAGCACATTATGGTATAAAAGTGTATAGGTGGATTGTAAATTCTACAATGATCTTGGGAATTCAGTCTTATCTATGTATCTAAGGTAAGTGACGACCTAGAAAAATATGACTACTCATTTCCCCTGTTTTCTTCCCAGGAGGCAATCTGCACAGTACTCTACTAAAGTCTATTAACCTCAAGTGTCTTTCATAAAAGTTATTGATCAGAAAAGTTTAAACTCTGTCCTTACGCTAGCACACAGGAAAAATTTACAGTATTGAGGAGAAAGATGTTACTTTTCATACCTATATTAATTTTCTAAAATGAGAATTCCCTCTTGACTTCCGACATGATGCTTAAAATTCACCCAGAGAATTCTAATACATCCTGGCATGTACTGTACAGAGAGAACTCTGCTCAAAGCGAATCACAAAAAAATGAAGAGAAAAAATGTTTAGTCTTCTATCCTACTGTGTACTAACACTGTGATATAACAGAATTTTACCATCCATTTGTTCAGTGTAGTACAACTCTATTTTTGTTTAAAAAAATCTGGAATCTTGATAAACATATATTTCTCAAAGGTTTTCTTACCGAGTCCCTGATCTAAAACTAAAGACAAAGGCTCAACATTCTCCATCTGAAATCAAGGCAGCAGCTGGTAAAGCTTATCAAGCGTCCGGGTCACCGCTTACCTTGCCAGTGAGAAGTTCAAAGAGGACGGCACCCAAACTCCACCAGTCGCAGGCTTCGGTTTCCTCGGTGATTGCTCCAACCTCTGCACACACCAAAAAAGGCTGTTATTAAAATTCCAAAGGTCAATTAAACTTTCAAAATTAACATGTATAAGCAAGGTGACCTTTTTAATGCTGAGAGAGCATATACTAAATACTACTGGGCTTTCAAAATTCCTGAAAGTTACTTATCCCTTTGGTCACCTACTGTGGTTGCATTTTTTTTTTGACACAGTCATATATTAAACTGAGACATGTGTTCTTTGGTTGATAGAGGGACACCTTCAAGATGCTATACTTAAAGTTACATGAATCTACTAGATTAGCATTTTGCTTAATTTTTCAAATTTGAGAAAGTATAGCCAACTCTACCTCAGAGGTCATGTCTTGTTTTAACATAAAAACCCTAGGTTCAGAATAAACTGCAAAAATTGTTTAAACCAGTATTAATTATCCTTGTGCAGATTAGAAACCAGAGAGGTGAAATGCCCTGTCCAATGTCACATGTGCACACAGTAAATCAGTAGCAGAACTGAGACCTTGTTCACAATATCATCCCTCTCCTATATAATCAATTGATTTCAACTACAGAGGAGGCACGTGCAATGCAAATTTACCCATTTTGTTATTACAAGTACAGAGATGTGTTGTCTTAAGTCACCACTGAAACTATTGGCTAAGATAAGGGATTGTGGAGCGTCTGCAGATTACAATTTTATCTGTGTTACCCTTATCTCAGCAGCACAAGTCCTTAAACGTAATGTGAGTTTTCAGGTGTCCTCTCTCAGGTCTCTCTACAAATCAGCAAAAACTCCTCACTTCAACCACTCCTGAGGCTTTTAGCCCTTAAGTCATGTTTGATGCATTCTTGTCTTTTCCTAATGGCATTCAATGAATCACTAAGCTTTATCAATATCTGCCCTTTCCTTTCTATTTGTATGACAAAACACACTTATTAGTTGTCTGCGGTAGCCCACAACTCATAACAATAATGTTCTAAAGCCTTGGGGTAGAAAGAAAAAGATCAATACTAGAAACAATACAATGGTAATAAATACATATCTCTCAACAACTGAATCTAAAAAACACACTAAGCAGACCAGAAGAACGGAGACAGAATCATGGATACAGAGAGAGGTTTGATGGTTGCCATGTGGCTTGGGGGAACAGGTGAAGAGGTGAGGGGAGAAGTACAAGCAGGCAGTTGCAGAGTAGCCATGGGGCTGCCCAGGACAGTACAGGAAATGCAGTAGCCAAAGAACTCACACGTGTGAGCCACGGACGGGAACAATGGTGTGGGGACTGCCTGAGGGGGTGGAGGGTGCTGGGCAGAGGGGGGAAAAGATGGAAAATGGGGACAACTGCAACAGTAAAATCAATAAAATATAATTAAAAAAAAATAAAAAAATATGCATACTTATATAAAGAAGAAGAAGGAAGAAGAAAGTAGTAACTGAAAGTGGTGCTTAGGGGCCCAGCCTTTTATCCAACACTCAGTAAATCTGCGTATGGGAGAACCGCAAAACTCACAAAATAGCTCGAGCTTTAAGTCTTTAAACAAAGGTCATAGAAAGAAAAGGGCCCGAGGAAGAAAAAAGAGCCACTCCTGTGCAAGATACTGAACGCAGCCCATCTCAGCAGCCTTCGTCCACACCCCTGCACCCACGCTCTCCTTCCGGGTTTCCTGACTTACGCACAACTACGGCCTTCACGCTAGCCCTCCCCCAGCCCCAGCCTCCGACCCCACACGGAGCTTCAGGACAAGCCACACCCTCCCTTCCCTAACTAGCCGCTCTCACGCAACTACTGTGTGAATGACCAAGTCTCCTCATCCTCCTAGAGCCACTGGCATTTATAAAATAGCAGCTCGTTTTAAAAACCGAGAACTCTCTAACGATAGAGATTTAATGATGTACAGTGGCACTCCCTATGAGGCATACTACTACATAATCATTTAAGATGATGTCTTCATGCAAAGTTTCACGTGTCCAAGTCAACATCTGGATATATTAAATTAAAAAAAAAACAAGCTCTAAAACAACAGAATTCTATTTTAAAATTACGCATTTACAAAAAGACTGGTGTGACAATATGACAAAAAATGATTTAGTGATTTGCCTCTGGGGTAGTGAGACTTTTGTTTTCATTCTATACTTATTAGCGGGCATGAATATCTAAAAGGCACACGTAAAATGTATAAGAAGATGACATGAAACACTTAGGCTTATTGGGGCGGGGAGGGCGCAGCCGCAGGCAGGTCTGCCCTTCCCAAGAGCCTGCCCGCCCACAGCCTGTCAGGCCACATCACGGGAAGCTGCAGACGAGCCGTCAAGAGTTCCAGACCAAGAGCCTCGAGGAATCACTCGATCTCATCCACAATGAGAGGGTTAGAGCTGAGATCAGGGATCTCCTAAAACAGTGATTCTCTTGAAGGACGAATCCCTCGTGGTTTCTCACCCAAGTGCTCAGATTCGAGCCCTCCCAGATGCAAGCCCACTGCTTCCACACCCGCCCCAACCTGCCCGCAGAGAGCCGCCGCCGTCTCCTTCAAGTGTGCTCTAAAAACCTCGGAAAGGGTGTGTGTCCTCAGAAACTCCACAAAAGTAAAAGAAATTTACCGTGTTCCTGTCATCACATAACAACTTTTTGCACATGTCCTTCCAGTTTTAGTAGTCAACTAATCATTTTTCTATTCAAAATTCGGAAATGGACTCTCACTGACCATTCCGTAACATTCGAATGTCTAGTTTAATCAGGCATGCGTACCATCAGGCCTCCATATGGGGTCTCAACCAGCAACATACGCAGCACAAACTGGGCACTCTTCGTCCACGGAACCCCCCGTGCTGGCCACACTGCTCACTAGTGCAAAACTAAAGCCGCTTTTCCTACTGGCGCAGTTAATGGTTTTATCTTTCAGTATGTTTCTGCTCAAGAATTTAAGCGATTCCACTGCCTTTAATCCTACAGCAAGCAGTACATGTTTCATAGTTTTATAATAAAGGTGACCCCTGTTCACAAGCTGAGACCCAACATTATGGGTCACCATCTGCTCTGAGCAGGCACCCACAAGTCTGCCTTCCTGCGCATGATCTGTCGCTCGGCTCACGGTAGGCACACACTGCAATGACGACAACTGCATTAAGACAGCAGCTAACATCAACTGACTGCTTACTGCATGTAAGGAACTATGTCTAACATTTTACATGCACTATTTAAAATCTCCAAGCTAACCATGGAGAACTCATTTGGGTCAGGTGACTCTGGAGAAGAACGAATTGGGTGTCCTGAGAAAAGAGGAACCTTAGACCCAATCGAAAGTTGAGAAAACTAATACGATGGCTTCATAGCATCTAACAACACGTGCTGGAGCTCTGGACTAAAGCCCTACGCCGAGTCGCTGCTCAGAAAGCTCCCCTGTCAGGACAGAGCAGAGGGTCACTGAGGTAAGTCTACCTAATGCAAACCATTTATACAGGCTCCTTTTACACTCAGCCAAAGGTCCAAGTGCCGGCACCAGTGTAGCCCAGACCATCAAAAGTTACGTGTTACACCAGTTACCCACATCACTGCTGGGATGTTCCCCGCGGGGGGAGGAATGAAATGTGTCACTGTGTGTGCATGTTATGGGGGGAGGGGTCCCTGAAACTACCAAGTAAGTACAGTACATCTTCCTGAGCATAAAGATTTTTATATATGTGAAAGGGGTGGATATTGTTTCACCATTAAAAGCAACACAGATCTATTATGGAAGAGAATGTAAAATTTGCATGGATTTGCAAGATAAAAGACTTCAAAGGAACATCAGAATCGTATTTCACTAGTCTCCAGGGTACTCATTTCACATCACCTCTACAGACAGAAGAACTTGGGCAGAAAAGTTTGAGAGGAACTTGATGAGACAGACAAGGTGTATTCCTTCATTGGTTTCTGTGAACTTGTTCAACTGAGGAGTCTAAGAACTAGTTTCATTGGTTTTATGCTGCTTTGAAATCTCCGCAATGTTCTGCCTGAGTCCTGAACAAGCAGATAATGATCAATGTGAATTGCCACAGTGCCTGGTGAGTCCCAATCTGAATATCCCCTAATATTTTAATATTATTATAAACTAGGCCCTAACCTAATACTCAGAGTGAAACTGTAAAGCTATACTCTGAAACTGCATTGCCAAGAAGAAGCCTGAGGTCGTGAGGTGGTCAAAAGCCCACGGACTTGAACTAAAGGGGGAATACAGGTGGGAGGCGGTGTGCAGGACGGAGGGGAATAAAGGGAGGGAAGTGGGACAGCTGTCATAGCATAATCAATACAATGTAATAAATAAATACATAAATAAAGCACCCCTCTGAAACTGCTTTACTTGCAAAACCTACATAATGTTTAAGCATAAACCAAGAGTGCTGCTTTGCACAGGGTCTGGCGGAAGTGAGGTTGCTTGAGTGTGGTTGGTAGGGTGTAACAATTTATTGTTTTAATTTGAGCATTTCACCGAAAAAGTTACACAGTGTGCTTGAGTGTGATATCGTTACATTACAGAACTGCACGCTTATGATGTTGTAATAAAAGAGGGGCGTTACCTGTGCCAGGCCCGGTCTCTACAAAGCTACGCGACAGCTACTACAAACGCCAGCTGACTAGTCAGGCCTGTGGGCCACACTTCAAAAGTAGAAAACTTAAATGCCAAATAAATGTGAGGCTATTTTAAGAATAAAACACGGTGGAGCTGAGAAATTCCTTTCAACTCCTACCTTAAGTTTTTTTTAATCTCTGAAAAATAAAAGCAGAAACACGTTTTAAAGGATAAATTCTACCACTGTTCTGTCACCTCTCAGACTGTTTTTCCTACGAAACCCGACAGGTCACGTCCCCGGCCCGTCCGGCCGCCCCACCGCATTCTACACTGGCCTTCCCAGGGCCAGGGCGACGGGACGGCAGCCTTTCTCCACAGGGGCAGCAGTCCTATAGGCGTCAAGCATAGTCATCAGGAGGAAAAATAAACTATTCCCTAAGAAAACAAACGAATTCTCACATTATCCCCACAAAAACT